GATTTAGTGATGCACCTTAAAAAACGTAGGGCTTTTAACACTGAAGGCATCACAGTAGAATTGAATTATGATACAATTAAATAATACCTTGGCTTAAGACATGTCCCTGCTGCATGTTTACCCTCTGTTGTGTGTGCATGCCGGCACAGAGCCCTTTTTAGTGTTGTTAGTAACTACTAACATCAAAGTCAACATGTTCCTGTGAAACAAGCCCATCCGCATTTTGGAGGGCTTTATTATGACACATAGAAACCAAGGATTCTTTACCCCACAAATAATTACGTTTTGATTTGACTCGGCCCACGGTTTATTCTAACTAAGCAGACTAGTAGGGAAAAGTCTCTGTGGTCACAGCCCAGGCATACAGGTGGTGAGGTTTACATCATGCAGATGCTTTCATACTCGTGGTAGAGCACTTTATTTTTACAAAAGGATGGAATGTTTTGTTATTATGTATAATGGCATACTTAAAAATTCAGGACATTTTTACATTTGACTTTGATTTGTTGTCATTGTAAACATCTAACCATGATTGATTAGACGCTGTCTGGCAAAATATGGATTATTTGAACAAGATTTTATTGGAAAGTATCTGATGAAACAGTGATAAAGAAAACCTTGAAGAAGAATGGTTTGCTTCACAGCAGAACAAACCTGCTTCCCTCTAAGTGACAAATGTGGACAACAATTGTACAATATTGAAGGAAAGCACTGCAAGCAAACCTTCTATTTAGAGATGTATAGACAGGGGGAGATTTACATTCATGCAGTTGGCTAAATATTCAGCCATGCTAATACAAATGTTTGTGATACTAAAACTATCCTCTCTAGCTCTCAATCACGTTTACAGCCTTGTCTTCTGGCCACAAGTCACCTCTCGCGAGATTTCAGAACCCTGAGCGAGACTTTGAGAGACATTAACAAAGAGAAAGGAAAAACAGTTGAAATCACTGAAGGATCATTTCCATAATGATCAGATACTTTCAAAACAGTCTGAGCCTAACTGTAAAACATGGAGGAACAGTTGCTCTTTAGTAACCCTGCTGTGTGAAGGACTTCTGGTTGACCTTTAACCCCACCTGTTTCTCCTTCCAGCACGACGACCGTGATGGCGAGAAGACCTGGGTGGACTCCCGTGGGAGGGGACGCGGGGCCTTCCCCACACGCCGGGGACGCTTCGTCTACCGTAAGGGGGGCAGCAGCCCGAAGTGGACACACGACATGTTCCAGGGCGGGGGGGAGGGGGCGGAGCTAGCTGACGACGGCATGGAAAGCCTGCCGGTCATCCGTAAAGAAACCAAGAACGCCGGAGAAGCCCCCGCCCCGAAGCAGTAGAACCACTCGACCCATCACCAGATACATACAGGTGTGGGGATGGTTACAGTGATGGTGAAGGGGATATCCCCCC